GCATTTACCACCATTTTAATAAATTGAAGAGTTTCAAGTGTGTCCATTCTGATTGATTGGTACATTGCAATTATTGCGAGTTCGTTAAATGCAACTTCCTTTAGATGTTACTAATCATTGTCGTTAATTACATCGGATGTCCAAATCAGGTTATTTGATAAACATCACCAACAAGAAGCAACTTCAATTTTGAGGATTATAACGAGACTTGTCCAATACTAATACTTCAGAGTTACAACAGATTCAAATTACAAACATGTCTGATCATTCTTTGTCATCTCCAATTAAAACTTTTTATCATTAACTTACTTCACGTCCTCATGGCTGGCATTTCTGAAGAGCATGATACCCAGATTCACCCGAATCAAGCTAAGGCCCATGATTTTGATATTGTTCTGGCCCATCAAGTGCATCCCCAAATAAGGCTCATCACCTCATTACCTCAAGCTTAAACCATTAGCTGAATATTTTTTTTTGAGAAAAATATTTATTATTTTGAATGACATAACTTTGTATTATTTTTAATGAAATTATGTCATTTTGATGTGTTTTTATATTTTCTCTCCTCCACTTTCTTTTTCTTCCTAATTTTATAAAAAAGAGAAAATGACAAACCACACTTAAACAATATAATTTTATTAAAAAGGACACAAAACTATTTCATTCAAAATGACAAACCCTTCTCCCATTCTTTTTATATTATACTATTCCTTTTCTTAACAGTTGTCTTGACCATGCAATTATTTCGTTATATCCCCAGCACGAGAACTAGACACTTTTCTATTAGATATTAATTCTAATATATTAGAATTATAAAACAGATATTTAAAGACAAAAACAGAGATATTAATTATTATCAGCTATCTTGAGCATGCTATATCATCTCCCAACTTCAGTTGCGTCAGGAAATGTTACTTCTAAAAAGGCAGGTTGAGAATGGAACCCAGCTCATTGAAGTGAGCAGGACCACGTCTTATCACAAAGCTATCTCCACTTGTTGAATAATATACGTCATTTACTATATTTATTATATAAGTAATACGTTAATATAAGTGGGGATCAACCCGTGGATATATTTTAGAGTACTTATCATTAGTGACTAGACTATATCTATAAGGCTTGGTTGGTTGCTTCAAGGATCAATGATAGTTCTCACAAATTAATATAAGACTTTTCAGCATACTTCATAGAAAAACTTCCTAGGAGGTCACTCGTTCGATAATTTTTCTAATTCAAACACGTTTGACTATGGAGTTTTTCTGTTCTAGACTTTCGAAAAGTAAATGTATCTTGTTAGTATATGTAGTACTAATTAATTCTTATAAACTATCATCAACCGTATCGTCTCATACCAACACAGTCTTTAGAATCCCTTTCTTTTGAGTGTTGATTTTATTTATTTATGTACTCCAACTGTAAGATTTGGCATGAGCCGTTTATTGTTTGTCTTTTTAACATCTGCGATCACTCTCGACCTTTGCCAGCTCTTGACATATTATAACATTGGATTGTTGTTTAAATTGCATCATTTCAACATTTATTATATAATTAAATATAATATATATATATATATATATATATATATATATGAGTCAGGATCATTTTACACCAGTGTAAGTTACACTCTCAATCTTATCCGTTGATTCCATTTATATCTAACGGCTAATTTTTTTTAGTAATGTGAGCCATTGAATACAAGTGGATCAATGGTCAAGATTGAGTGTAAGACTTCTAACTCTTACTCCGGTGTAAGAATATCCTGCCCCTATATATATATATATATATATATATATATATAGAGAGAGAGAGAGAGAGAGAGGTAGGATCCTTTGACACCGGTGTCAAATTTGAAATTTGACACCTCATCTGAGAGCCGTTAGATCAAAAAATATCAACGACTCTGATTTGTTGTAAGCATGTGATACTATTGATATTTTTTAATCTAACAGCTCTCATATGAGGTGTCAAATTTTAAATTTGACATCGATGTTAAAGGATCCTATCTCTATATATATATATATTATATATATCCGGTCATACGATTCAACTAATAAGTAATATATATCCGGTCATACGATTCAACCAATAACCTAATACTTGAATCATTCACCCAATAATAACCCAATACTGTAACCGATTCGATTACGCTTTTAAGCACTTTTGTTACTATATGATATTTTCTATTATCATGCATGATGTTTAGTTGTTTGCCTCTTTCCTTGTTTTTATGTTCACAGGCAAGTGGAGCAAAAATAACATTAAAAACACCGGGACCGCAATATAAAAAACTTAACTCCTGTTACCCAAAAAAAAAAAAAACTTAACTCCAACAACTACTGATAGAGAAAATATCGGGGATCGCAATAATTAGGTCTCGGGCTCTCGGCATGTTGAGAAGTTAGTTTATGAGTACTGCTCTATGTTTAAATTTTTTATTCAATTTTTTTTCCATTAAACAATGTTAATTAAATATAATATTAATAGGGCTATGTCAATATTTATAAAATGACTAATATAAAATATTAAATTATGAAAATATTTTGAAACGAAATTATTTTATACCAAGTATGTTCTCAATCCTCGTCATTAATTTATTTATATCTAACAATTTTATTTTATTATTAATGTGAGTTACTGGATATAAGTGATCAATCATCATCTATAAGTGAAATATTTTTTATTCTTACGAAAATGTATATCAATTACGCCCCAAATATTTTATTAATAAACATGAAAATCAATTAAACACTAATATATTTCAATATTAAAAAAAAAAATCATAGTGTGTTACTAGAGGAGCCGCCCACGGCCCACGGCCTTTGTAAAAACATTTGTCCTTTGCTCCACTTGCCTAGGTGCTACGGTCACGCTTCAGAGTAGCTATTGAAATATCAATGCCAAGTTGCCAACAAGCCCATCTCCACGCCGCTTCAGAGCAATCGAGAGATAGAGATGCTAAAAAAGAATCTCAGAAATGAAAATTCTGAAAGCAAACACAATTAGATAGTTGTAAATAAATTGCCAAGGGAGATCAAAACCATTCTTTAATGTTAAAGGTAAACTTCCTAACAGACCATAATATAATTCAAGAATCAACATACTTCCTCATTTCTATATTTATTTGGACATAGATACATACTCATAGAAAGAAAGAGAGGGAGAGAGATTACTAGTCTATATTTTGTTTTCCATGGTTAGGCAGCATAGAAGACAACATGTTCCTTTTTAATTATGCCAGTATAAAGATTAAAAACATGTGCTCTCATCCGTTAGTTAGTTATTTAAACTTCTGAAATTTTGAATCAATGGAAAACAAGAAGAATCCCCTAAAGAAAAACAATAAATATAAATTAGGTATATAGAGCAAGAAACATAACAAACCTACTTATTTAACATCAACAGAGCATGAAGGACTTCTTATTTAAAAGAGATAGAAAGTAACAAGCCCTTTATGATCATTTCAACATTCAAAGATGAGTGTCAAAATTCAACTAAATGGCTATGGATCAAAGACCCCCGTTTTTTTTTTTTTTTTTTACTTTCTTTTTCCCATGAAAGTGAAGGAGGAGGATAAGATTTAAAGGAGAGAAATTGCAGAGGAAACATCTCATTGGTATTATTGGTGTTGATTATTATTCATCTTGTATAATTGGAATTGATCATTCATCTTGCATTATTGGTATTGACCATTCCTCAAAATACATGAGGACATAGATTTGAAAGCTTTGGATTGTAGTCATTTGCAAAGGATACTCAAAGTCTTCACTATGTCATCAATCATAGCTGAATATGGATATACACATATATACGTGGATATTAGGCTAAAACCAACAAATAATTCAGCAGTTAGAGAGCATCTTTTGTATTCTTGTACCCTCCCAATTGCATAGTCTTATTACCTTTTAATGTTATTTTGCTCCACCTGCCTATAGGAGCCGCCCACCTGCCTTTTTAGAGATAACTTTTCTTGAATTATATTATAATGTATAATTAATAAGAAGCAGCTGCAACCTTTTAGACAATAATTTTTTTATTGAATTATATTATGACGTAAGCCTCTTATAATACGCTATGATTTTTTTTTTAATATTGAAATATATTAGTGTTTAATTGATTTTCACGTTTATTAATAAAATATTTGGGGCATGATTGATATACACTTTTGTAAGAATAAAAAAAAATATTACACTTATATTTAGATGATGATTCACTTATGGGATTTATTATTCTTATGTTACATAAGAAAAAAATCTATTTCCTACACACATAAATTCAAGATGAGTCTCATTCTACTTTCTATCTCTCTTTCCTTGAAAGTGGACCCTAACTATACAAATGAGTCAGTCGGAGATAATAATTATCTCCTACTGCATTAGAAAATTATTACCCTTCACTTATATCCAATAACTCATATTAATAATAAAATAAAATTGTTAGCTATAAATAAATTAATGACGAAAATTGAGAACATACTTGGCGTAAAATAATTTTGTTTCAAAAATTTAATGTATTATATTAGTTATTTTATTAATATTTACATAGCGCCCTATTAATAATTAGAGTGAGGATATTCTAACTACTAAAAACTCTCACTACTATCTTACTACTCATCACATCACCATTGAATCAAAGAGAGAAAATGTTAAAAAGTTTTTGAAGAGAGAGAAAATATTAATCTAATGGTGATTAAATAGGTAGTAAGTTGGTAGTAAAAAATTTTGGTAGTTAGAATATCCCTCCTCAATTAATTATATGTCCAAAAAGTAATTTATATTATTATATTTAAGCAACGTTGTTTTATGGAAAAAAATTTGAAAAAAAATTTAAACATAAAGCATTACTCATAAACTAACTTCTCAACATGCCTAGACCCAATTGTTTTTTTAACAAGTTAGACTTAGTCTGCATTTTGATTAGGGCCATTGAACTCACTATATATATCAGGCACCTTGGAACGAATGTTCACACACAGTTTCTACAATATCCACTTCATTGCTTAAATGGAGTTTGCTCATCTATCCGTTTTAGCTCTATTTTGTGTAAGCTATTTTCTGCTTTGCTCGATCACATGAGATTGCCTTAACTTGTTACATCATTTTTTGTGCTTTGGAAGACATCGATTTCCATTGTTTTTGCCTCCATTCCGTGTCCAAGAATTAATGTCTGGTTTTCATTTGAAATCAACATAAATCTTTTATATGTTTGCACAAGAATAAACAATTCCATTTCAGATTACTCGAAGTTACACCAAGAATGTATGTGAAAAATATTAAAATGTGTTATATTTCATTTAATTTGAACATTTTTTTCGCAGCTGACCGTCGTGGTAACCGATGCATCGCAATCCGCAGAAAATTACTGGCAATCCGTTAGGCCAAACACTCCCATGCCCAAGGCTCTCTGGGATCTTCTGCAGCCTTGTTAGTAATTAATATGAATTATTTTGTGCTTCTTTTGATTAATTCAACACTTTTACAAGCCTAGCTTAGCCTATTTGGTTAATTAATTTCAGATAGTAAACTTTGATGCTCTAATTATTTAAATAAAACTATATATATATATATATATATATATATAGGAAAAAATATTTCTACAGTCACTTAAGATAAGGTTATCTAAAGCTACCCAAAAACTACGTCGTTTTAATTAATGAAGAGTGTTTATGTAATTTTAAGTGAATTAATGAAGAGTGTTTTCATAATTTTGTTTATTTTTTTATCATATGCATTTTACTGAAACATCCTTCATTAGATCACCTAAAATTACATAAACACCCTTCATTAATCAAAACGACGTAGTTTTTGGATAGGTGTAGGTAGGGGTGAAAGTGGGCTGGGCTGGGCCAAGCTTTGTCTCGAAAAGCCCAAGCCTGCGTCAAAAAATTTTAACTTGGCCTGGCCCAAGCCTAGTATGAGTCTAACTGTTAGCCTGCTTTTGCCCGTTTATAAAAAAACAAATGGCCCGGCCCAGCTCGTTAGCTTGTTAATTTTTAACTTCCAAATAGAACCATGAATAAACTTTACACAATACTCAAATTATGTTGCTAAACCAAAAATCATAATTTCAATGTCCAAACAGAATCGTAAATCACAACAAAACTCATACAATCTACATTTAAGTCACTCTCAAAAGCAAAATGCTCAAACTAAATAACAAATATTTCATCAGATCCAACAAACAAATCCATACTATATATGTAAATTAAAATAACTACATGAATCCAACAAACACATCATAATGCTTGTAGTAAGTATAACCTCTCCCAAAAACCTTTTATTATATTAATATACATAATCTAATATACTAAGATGTTGATTCTTCCTACGTAAGAAATAAAGTCAAATTTCTATTAAAATATAATCGAATATAATTAAGTTATAAATAATTGCAATTGATTAAATTTATATCTTTTGTTTTTTCTTCAAGTCATATTTATTATATTTTATTTTTTTAAAATAAATAGTACAATATAGGCCGGCCTGTAGGCTTATAGCCAGGCCTTGTCAAAGTAGGCCTACAACCTTTTTATTAAACAAGTTTTTTCAAAGCCTAAGTCGGGCCTGTTTTACGAAATATACTAGGTCAAGTCTGACCTGACGTAGGCCGAGCCGTAAGCCCCTGTAGGCCGGCCTGGCCCAGTTTCACCCCTAGGTGTAGATAACCTTATCTATAGTGACTGTAGAAATGTTTATTCTATATATATATTATGTATATATGCATGGATACATGTGCACATATGTGTGTGTACGGACAATTCCGGCTTTTTAAGATTGTGAAGGGATTCAAAATTGCATTCTTCTGAAAATTGAGAAAGCTATAAAATATAAAATTTTAAATTTAAGACATATTATAAAATTGAATTGAACAAAAACTTCAATCATAAAATGTACATTTTATATAGTTTGCTCTTGCACATACCAACGTATTATATATTTATATCATGTAATTAATCTAGTAAACAATAAGATAATTATGATTTGGAATTAATCGTTTTTGATCTATAATGGTGCAGACAGCGGAAACAATCTGCCCATCAAAGCCGAAGAACAGAAGCAGTACTGGACTGTCTTTTTTGAACATGACCTTCATCCCGGCAAGAAAATTAGTTTGGGTTTCGACAAGCCTTCTGATAATCAGCCTTCTGGAGTAGCAAGGACATGGGATGATAAAGCAAGTCAACCCTTTGGAGCAAGGACATGGGGAGAAAAAGCAAGTGATCAACCCTTTGGAGCAAGGACATGGGGAGAAAAAGCAAGTGATCAACCCTTTGGAGCAAGGACATGGGGAGAAACAGAAAGTGATCAACCCTTTGGAGCAAGGACATGGAGAGAAAAAGCAAGTGATCAACCCTTTGGAGCAAGGACATGGGGAGAAACAGAAAGTGATCAACCCTTTGGAGCAAGGACATGGAGAGAAACAGAAAGTGATCAACCCTTTGGAGCAAGGACATGGAGAGAAAAAGCAAGTGATCAACCCTTTGGAGCAAGGACATGGGGAGAAATAGAAAGTCAACCCTTTGGAGCAAGGACATGGAGAGAAAAAGAAAGTCAACCCTTCGGAGCAAGGACATGGGAAGAAAAAGCAAGTCGTCGACCTTTTGGGTCAAGGAAATGGGGTGAAAAAGCAAGTCAAACACAAGGACATAATAGTATTCATCATTTTTGTGGGAAACCATCAGCTATAGGAGAAGACAAATATTGTGCAACATCACTGGAATCAATGATGGATTTCGCCATTTCAAAGCTTGGGAAGAATATTAAGATGGTTTCGAGTTCATTTGCCCAAAATCAAGACCAATATATTGTGGAGGAAGTGAAGAAAATTGGAGAAAAGGCAGTGATGTGTCATAGACTAAATTTCGAAAATGTTGTCTTTTATTGCCATGAAGTGAATGCAACAACAAGTTACATGGTTCCGTTGGTGGCCTCTGATGGGACTAAAGCCAAGGCACTAACAATTTGCCACCATGATACAAGAGGTATGAATCCCGATGTGCTTTATGAAGTTCTCAAAGTAATGCCTGGAACTGTTCCTGTTTGTCATTTCGTTGGCAATAAGGCCATTGCTTGGATTCCCAATCTCACCACCGTGAGTGAGTCCGACCATCCTTGTGTCATCTAGAACTATATATGAGTGCGTATCTTTTGTTGGGTATGGTTCATACTTCGCATACAAATGATGACTCTAGTTGGCGGGGTAAGCTTACTGCTATCCTATTCTATGTAATTTGTTTTCTGTTTTCAATTTGTGTTGTATGTGTTGATTTCCAATATCTTTATGTAAACCGGTACCTAAGGCCAGTCAAGTGATGTATCTTTGAATGTAATATAATGAAATAAAAATGTTGTGACTTTGATTTAATATCTTTTTTATATGCACTACTCGGAAGTTACTTCAAAAAAGGACAATTAACAAATAATGCACAAGAGATATGGAACATCAACTTGTCATGTACTTTGTGATGGAAATGAGATGTCCAACACTTATCTGATCCAATAATATGTCCTGCAGAGAATATCTCAATAAGCATCCACCTTAATACTCGAAAGATTTAAGAAAACCAACTTATAGTGTCCAGAACCCCTTTTGCTTAGTAACGACTAAAACTGAATCCTTCCCTCTGACATCCATTGAGGTGATCCCAGCAGTCTTAACAGCCTAAAAAGCATATTACCTGTGTATTAGAAAATGAAAATATAACCAAATGGTGGTAGCTCAGTTGGCGCATGGGAGCTGAGCAGGTGGGGGTGAGGGCATGTGTTCGAATCTCCCCAGTACCACCTTTGGGAGGGGTTTAAAGCCTTAATCCTGGACCCGCCCCGAATCGGACTAATCGCGAAGCCATGAACCGATGGAATATTTTCAAAAAAAAAAAAAAAAAATGAAAATCTACAATTAGAATTGGGCAGCGTAACGAGCAATTTAGCTCACTGCACGAACATCCGTAATCAATTTCTGAGGACATTGATAGTTGCATGCATTATCTGCTAATTCCTAAATGATACAATAATTAAAGCAATACATCAATGTAGAACTATGTATATATTGTGTCACCCACTTAAAAAGGACCAATTCCCCTTTCAAAACACTAATCTAAATAAGTGAATGTTCAAATCCACTTCCCCTTCCTCGTGGCAACAAGATTCGATTCGTTGACAAGAAAAGGAAGGGAATTGGGTTCTGGACCCTACCAGAAGACTGGGCTGAGTCCAATATTTACTAAAATTGTACCAAGTCTGACCTAACGGATGAACATGGGCCTGGGCTCGTCTACAACAAACCTGACTTTAGAAAATATTTTAGTAACACATAAGATGCATGATGAGAGGCAGAGGCAATAAAAGAATCCCCTCTTCATCGTTGCAATGATTAGCAGTTGGGCATTGCAACTTTCTTGCGACCCGTAATCTTGGAATAAATCTTTGGTACTATTATTTTATCAAAGATTCAGTACATCTCACCAATAGAAATATTACATGTCAGTTAAAGTTTTTTTTTTTTTTTTGCCAAATTTTTTCTCTATCCTATGATGTGTAATGCTCTCATTGATAGGATGCACTGAATCTTAGTGCAATAGTATTCGCCACCTTGTGCCTTCTTATATAAAACCTCAAAGGAATCTTGCGTTATGCTCTCACCTTTGTCAAACTAAGCCCATACCTAACACCTTACTTAATATTTGTGTGTTGTTATAGATATCCCAATTGTCACTCTTGACTAAGTGCGAAGCACATGTCAAGAATATAGGTAAGAACATATAAATAAGAGGACATTAAGAAAATAACCATATTTAATCTAGACGGGTTGTTTCCGGTGCGTTTGTTTTAGTTAGTTTTTTTTTTCTTCTAAAAAAGCTTTTAAAATATAATTCTTGTAAAGTTTTTTTAAAGAACTATTATTTTTTAACTTATGTAAGATGTGCTAAATTAACTTTATTGAAGATATTTTTTTCTTGAAAAACATATAATTGTTATAATATTTTTAAACATATTTTTTAATCAAAAAACATTTACAAAAGACAAACCAACACACAATTAAAAGAGGAAAATGGATTCTATCATATAACAAACATATAAGAATATCTCTATTGTTTATACACAAATCTATGATTATGAAGAGTGCATTAGGATAGAGAATCAGAAAGTAATAAATGTTAATTTATCCATGAATGATTGAGATTATCTCACATAACCTCGTACACAAGACATGATCAATTTCTCTTATAAGACATATATTATTTTGTGTCATTGAATGCATATAATATCTTAACCATAACATTAAAGTGTTTTTCACATAAGCATTAAATCAATACTTGTAAAAAAACTTCAATGTAACGGGAGTAGGGGCGCTAAACGAACCAGGGGTCTTTGGCTCGGCTCATGAATGCTTGAGCTTACATGTCTAAAATTAGTTGTTGGCATCAGGCTTGAACTTGTATAAAAGTTCGTTTAATAAAAAGGCTTCAGACTCTAATTCAAAAGCTCGGCCTTAGAGCCTCACAGGCTGACCTAGTATATTATTTTTTATACTACTTATAATAGCCTTCTCTTTCTCCTCGATCTATTTCACCCCATTTTATTGGTCAAACAAACAGACTTTTTGAATGATTTTGTTCTATTTTATGCTATTTGGATATATATTGAATTTACGAATATTTATGGAATTATTAGTATTGTTGATTGTATATTCTGTTTGGATAAATTTTTTGTTGTCTTATTTTTTTTAAACAAGCTAATCCAGTCTTTTATTTTTTGTAAATGAGACAGGCTACAGGCCGATAATTATATTTTTAACAAGTAACAGGCTTGGTCAGACTGACACATTTAAAAACAGGCTTAGCCTTTTAAGATCAAAGCTCGATTCGGCTCGGCCAGTTAACACCCCTAACCGGAAGCACCGAACTCTTTACTCCCTTTTACTAAAAAGAAAGTTTTTTAGGACTTAAAGGAAAATATACAAGAAGGGAAAAAAGTATCTAATGTTACTTTAGACAACTTTATCTAATGTTCATCAAAACGTCGTCATTTTTGAGTTAAAAAATTAAAAAATTAGAATGATAAAGACTATTATAACCCTGAAATAAATTAAAATTATAAAAATACCATGATTTTTGCCCCAAAACTACGTAGTTTCGATGAATATTAGATAAAGTTATCTAAAGTAACTTTAGAAAACATGAACTAATAAAAGAAATATGAATAAAAATAAGGAAAAATTTCCATTTTTATTAAAAAGGAGCGTCGAGTTCAATACTTCCTATGCTTTAAGGGTGTTTACAGTCTGGATTTGATTTGGTTTTGGAAGCAAAAATCATCTTATCCAATCCCTTCAGTTTGATCATGTAATCATCCATTCGATTTGGATTTTTTTTAAATCCGATCCAATTTTTTCAGTTTGGATTGAATCGGTTTTCAGTTTTTTGAAAAGTCTAAAATTTGTTGTATGATTTTTGTGCAAATAACATATCTTCTATATGTATTGATTTTGTAAAAAAAAAAAAAAAATTGAAATACAAAAGCAACAGTAAACGATAATCTAATTTTTGTGTGGATAATGAGATATAAAGCTCTACACAAATGAAATTTGCTGATGGGATGTGGATAGGTTTTTTCTTGGGTTTAATTGATGGGTTAATGAGTCTTGGGTTTAGAATTTCTTGGGCTATAATTGGGAAAAGACTCAAGTAGGTAATGAAGAATTAATATATTAGATCGATTTTCACCAACCAAATCAAAAACCGATTAAATCTAATTAAAATTTGTGATTTTTTATTTATTTTCAGTTGTTCAGTTTTCGATTTATTCAATTATCGATTTTTCGATTCGATCGCCGCAGTTTGGATCGATTGATCAACAGTGCATTGAAGTTTTTCTCCAACACTAGATGTATGTAAATGCAATTTTTAGATATAGTATGTTTTTAAATGACCCACATAATCTTAGACATATCAAATTTAATTTGTGTGCTTATAACAAAAAGTTCTTACATAAGAAATTTTCAAAACGTAAAGTAAGAGATGATGATGGCTCAAATAGCTCAGGCAATGAAACCTTCAGTGTTACATATACGAACACTCTCTGGGTTGCAGGAACAAAGAATACAACTATGAACAAGCACTCGTGGAAGTGAAGGGTCCATCTGTCTTATTTGTTCATAAAGCTCGAAATTCCAAACTTTCTACCCTTCAAAAAGAAAATTATGATTCTTATACAACACAGTGAAGAAAAAAAAAATACATGTTGAATTTTTCAACTGATTGATTCATTACCCACTAATACGATGATGTGAGGAAGGATTAAATGAGCGGCAAAGTTCTTTTTTCCAAAATTTGAAAACAACTGAATATTCAAGATTTACATTCAAAATCATTGATTATACTAAAACAAATTTTTACGAGTTGATTCACGTATTTGAGAATTAAAGGTAGGTTAACCATATATTGAGTACTGATACAAATTGATCGCTTTTCTTCTGCATCAATTCCATTCATCCTTAACAACCTTGAAAGAGTAAACTATTTTGCGCATTTTTTTAAAAAACAAAATAAAATAAGAATTGCAATTTTCACGGGACAATGAAATAACTTATCTGAAATTCGACCTTCTAATGTTTTGATAAAAGGTAGTTATTTTGCAGATTCCTGAAATGTCACTTGATTATTCATACTGATTCTCGACTCGTGATCGCTTACATTAAAAACAAAGCAAGAGACAAAGCATTCCTTAAAGACTGCTTCTATTCAGTTTCTGTTGTAACGAATCCAAATTCTGTAGCTGATTATGTAAACAAACTAGCTGCGGATGCGAAGGGTACTGACATTCTCCTCCAACCAACCATATCTGTATTCGGATGCATCTGATTCGAACATGAAATACAAGCGTGTTATCTTTATCCATAGTAAAGCAAAACTACTGGCCAAGCTCATGTTTCTTTTTTCTGGTTTTTGGCCTTCACTTTAAACACAATAAATTACTCATCCTCCTTTTCTTAAATTTCGCCGCCAACTATTTTTAATAATTTTTAATTTAAAAAAAATATAGTTGTACAGAGGCATTGATGTGTGTGTTTATTTTAGAGACTTGGAATTTCTTTTACTTGAATGAATGAATGTAGGTGTTGAGAGGAAAAAAGAAGAAGAAAAAAAACAGAAGATAAAGGGTTTAAAGTTTGTTGATGGAAAACAAAAAAAGAAAGAGAGAGTAAAAAGAGCAAAGCAGAAAGGACAGAAAGAGTTGGAGACGTGGATGGGGGAATGGATCATCCAACAGGGCAACAGCCAATAGGTGGCTCGGACCACATTGCGGTGCGGTCCCCTCCCTTTTCAATTTCGAACTAAAACAAAATCATAAATCCCAATATTGCCCCTACTCCATTTTCCCGCGCAATGGAAGGGGAAATCCCATATCAGATGACGACAACGACCATCATCATCATCATCTATCCTCTCTCACTTCCTTGGGCCCCATACCCCCCCTTCACTTTAAGAATCTAACTGTCCTCCATTACCCGCAAATCAATGTCGCCTAAAATAAAAACAATTGTTCCTTCTTTTCTTTTTCTTTTTTCTAATAATAAATTTTTCCAAAAATATGCAAATGATAACATTTTTTTATAAATATAATTACTAACTAGTAAGTAGTAACCAGCTATTATGTCATTAAAATTATATTAAATTAATCTTAAAGATAACTTAATTAATAACTGAGTTTCTAACAACTTGTTTGAGTTAGGCATTTAAATTCTCCTTCAAATAAATTCTTAAAAAATCTTTGGAAATAGAAGAAGGATTACCTACAACTTATATCAAAATATATTCTTACCTTCAATCTTGACCATTAATCCACTTGTATCCGATGATTCACATTACTAAAAAATTAGAGCCTTAGCTATAAATGGGATCAACGGACAAGATTGAGAATGTAACTTACACGGGTGTAAAATGATCCTGACCATATATATATATATATATATATATATATATATATAATATATATGTTATATTATATTAAATTTATTCACACTGTTCCTTTTACAAATTTTCCCAAAGATGAAAAATAAACAATGAAAAGCATTTTCTGTGTATAAAGGAGCTTCGCCCCCCAGAAAACCTCACCTTCTGTACTTGGTAGCTCTCAGCTCGCTACCCTCACCCAATATCTCACAAGGCAAAATGTGCCGGGGCTTCTCCGCCCCATCTACGCCGTCCACGGCGGTTCTCTCATTCACCTTCGTCCTTGTCCTCTCGTTCCTCCTCGCCGTGAGTCCGGTGGCCGGATGGAGGCCGTGGCCTAAGAACAACAAAATGAACGTCACCGATTACGCCTTCGGTGACTCCAAGAAATTCGAGGGATCATCGGAGTTCGTGAAGCTGAGGTACCACATGGGACCGGTTCTGACCACCAACATTACCGTCCACACCATCTGGTACGGCAATTGGGAGAAGAACCAGAAGAAGATCGTCCGCGAGTTCATAAACTCATTCTCCGCCGCTGAGGCGCCACGCCCCTCCGTGGCCGGGTGGTGGCGAACCGTGCAGCTCTACACGGACCAAACCGGAGCCAACATTTCAAAATCGGTCCGGCTCGGGGAGGAAAAGAACGACCGGTTCTATTCCCACGGTAAATCGCTGACCCGGTTATCGATACAGTCGGTGATTAAGAGCGCCATCACAACCAAAACGAGGCCGTTACCTATCAACCCAAGGAGTGGGCTCTATCTGTTGCTCACAGCCGATGACGTGTACGTTCAGGATTTCTGCACTTCGGTGTGTGGGTTCCACTACTTCACCTTCCCTTCCCTTGTTGGTTATACGCTGCCGTATGCTTGGGTGGGTAACTCCGCCAAGTTCTGCCCCGGTCAGTGTGCTTACCCTTTTGCCGTACCCGAATTCATCCCAAACCGTAAACCCTTCAAGTCACCAAACGGCGACGTTGGGGTCGACGGCATGATCAGCGTTATTGGCCATGAGATGGCCGAGTTGGCCACCAATCCCTTGGCCAATGCTTGGTATGCGGGTCAGGACCCGACTTTCCCCGTCGAGATTGCGGATCTCTGCGAGGGTATTTACGGTACGGGAGGTGGTGGGTCATATACTGGTCAGGTATTGGACGCTCGTGATGGTGCCACGTATAACATGAATGGTATCAGACGGAGGTTCCTTGTTCAGTGGGTGTGGAATCATATTCTCAATTACTGTACTGGTCCCAATGCTCTTGATCACTGATCATCTCATCAGTGCTATGTAAAATGAGATATTTCTTCTCTTTTTGGGTTTTCATTTTGTTATTTTTGTTTCGGGCTTTTGTCTTGTGGGTTTGTGGTGCTGTCGGAGTTTGTTAATTTTGTTAAGGTAGTTAAGTTTGTTCATTAATGCAAATAATGTAATTTTATTATTATTATATGATATATGATATAAACTTTTTTGTTGTCACCGTAGAGTGTTTGAATGGTATGGTGGATAAATCGATTTAGGTGGTGTTTGGTTGAGAGTTTTTCAGCAGATATCTATGTTTCTGAAGTATGGCTTTTAGAAACACCATGTTTGTTTCAACGTATTTTCACCAAAAACTCATCTATCCAATTTGTCTGGATTTATGAAAAACATAGATATCCACACTGTTTAGAAACCCAATTTGAAGGTGGGATTTTTCGGAAAACCGGTTATCTGACTTTTAATGCACTGTTGATGTCGTAAAGTTACCTAATTTTTCCATTACATTTTTCTACCTATCTCACTTTATCTATTTTTCCAATCATTTCTTTATCTATTACATTTTCCTACTATTCCAAAAAATTTCCCAAACCAAACGACTCCTTCGGGTTTTTTGTGAAGAAAACATTGAATGTGATTAGGATCACTATTTATTCGAAGGGTAGGAATTAAAATGAGTAGGTGATGACAATAATGATGAAATTAAATAGGATTAGATATATTTTTTGTTAAATTTTGGAAGGAAGCAGACCGGCGGAATATGAATACTGAACGGGCATTGCGAGTAATTGAATTCGACGGACACTAGCAAACTTACGTTGGTACTGTTGCCACCTCACTATTGCCTATTGACGATTCTTGTCCTTCAAAACCTACCCAGCCAGCCTCCCAGGTCCCCCTATTGTACTAAAAAACAAAATAACAGGAATTCGAATAATGCACCTGCCGCGGTGCGTTTGATAGAAAATAATTTTTTTTTATCAGAAAAATATAAGGGAAATGCACTTCTCCTGTTAGTGGAGAAGTGTATTCTCCTGTTGTGTCAGCTCGAATTTTGTGCTTTTTTTTTTTTTTTTATTATTTTCAAAAGTTTGTGGGTTCCACCAAATTTTGTTTCTGTTGGAAAATTTCAATCTCTCTTGCTGCAACAGGAGAGATGTTAAGCCCAAAATATAATTATTGAAGAAAGAAATGATAGGAAAGTTAGGTTAATGGAAAAGTTAAAAAAAAAGTTTGGTTGACTGAAATATTATCAGAATTTTTTTTTTAAATTTGTAAAATTTATGTTCTGAAGGAACTTCGCACCTGTTTTTCTACTTTTTCAGTTATCTCAAAATACCATATCTCAAGTGATATTTTGTAACAGTGAATTTTACCCAAAAATCAACACCAAATTCGTTTCCCAGCCATCCTATTTGTCTAATATTTTTTTTCAAAATTTTGAACCAAACGTGATATTTTTCAATATCCACCCACACTTCTCCATCAAAGCCAAAATAAAACTTCTACCAAACATACCCTAAGGTAGTGTTTGGTTGAGGTTTTATTTTTGGATCCCCATCCATCTGATATTGATATTTCATGTTGCCAACGTTTGGTAGCACAAATACAAAAACTTACCTACCAATATGTTTTCTCCTTCCTTTGAGAATTGCATGCAAAAAGGGAGAGAATGCACTCTTGAGATTTACTATTTGTGAGGTGGTATTTTAAGAAAACTAGAGAAATAGAAAAAGGTGAACCAAAAATATGACTTATTTAACTCAATTTTTTTGATAAAATTTTGTTCAATCAAACTTTTTTTTTTAACTTTCTTACCAAACACACTTTTTTACCAAACTCACTTTCTTATCCTTCTTATTATATTCCTGATTATTATATTTATCTGGTTAAAAAAAATATCTCCTCTGCCCAAACGCTCCTTAATTGCATCTTTCATGGTCTTTTATACTGCATATACACTTATCTCATATTTTGTGATTCGTATTTTTTTCAATTCCAAATCAATAGAACGCAATTTTATTCAAAGATTTATTCTAAGTTTAGAGGCTAAATTACGTTGATTGTCAATTTTTTATTTGTTAAAATTATGTTTTTTAAAAATTGTATCAACTCTCTTTTATCAAGTTTTTTTTTTTAAATAAAAAAATTGATGATTTAAATTGCTATAAGAATTCTTCGATTCAGATAATTATTCTTATAAACTTTTACACTTATATTTTATTATTAATAAAAAAAAATTATTTATAAATTTATGTAAAATTACACTCTTTTTAAGGACATTTCTTTATATGCATGTTACAAACTAATGTTATTAAACTCGAATCGATAATCAACTCGATTAGAGTATTGGTTATTGAGTTACCAGTTCAACCAATAACTTATGACCTGGATAAATATATATATATAAGTTTATATTCTTTACTTTAAATTTCGTCATAATAACTTCTACGTTGTCTAGCAAAATTTGTAATAATTTCTATTTAAAATTATCCAAAATTATGTCTGACAACAAATGTGTAAATTAGTTTGAGAAACAAGGCCTTGGCATGAAAGAAAATATCATTTTCTTTAACTAGCCTTCTCCTCAAATGATCAATTTATTAGACGGACATTTACTTATTTTTCATAAATATATAACTCTTGCATTTTTGTAATTTATTTTTTCTGGTTTAGGCCTTCTTTAATCCAGGAAAAAAAAATTATCCATAAGATCATTAGTAAAAACTAAAATTAATATCATTTTTAAAATTTCAAATTAGCTCTTTACCATATCTCCTATATTTTTAAATTTCAATCCAACTTAGCATTTTCACATTTCATTTCAATTTCATTCGTTTTAAGTTTAAATGTTTATTTGTATTTTGTATTTTTGTGTGATTTGTATGTGTATCTATAAATTGAAAATGTTACACTGCAATTTATGGATTTTACATTTAGTTGTTGTTTATAAAATGATTCTGTTTCACTTTAATTTTTTTTAAATATATATATATATATATATATATATATATATATATGCATAATCAAGTCAAGTCGGTTCTCATCCGATTTTTTATATAGTTGGTTTATTGACTATTTCGAACCAATTAAACCACCGATTCACCAATTTTCGAGATAACTTGACTGGTCGAGTCGAGCTTAATAATACTTTACAACAAGTGCGAACCTTTTTTTTTTTTTTTTGGGTAAACAGCAGCGAACCTTTTAATGTGACAGCAATGCTGTCTTGTCTTGAGTAAAATGACCTTAAAATCATTTTTGGAATCTTTAAAATGAAAACATGTGCGTAGAGAAGGACTTGCATTGGAATCTTCAATTCTGCTTTACCACTTTAATTAAGCATCAATCGTTAATCTTTTAAAGAAGAAGAAAAAAATTCAATTATTGGTATCGATGTATATTCCACTGTTTAATAATTCAATTCGGTTTAAATTGGTCATTCATTGGTGTACAATACTTGCTTGATTTGGAAGGACTTTGGCCAAGTTGAAAAACGGTGTGGTATAGTATCCTAACTTCCAAAATTGTAGCAGGAGTCAATCCCCGTGGAAATATCTCTATCAAGAGAAGCTCTTGCTTGTACTGTTCGCTTGTGTAGCTTTTGGACTTTTTTTTAGAGCATAGCCGTAGGGCCACAAGTATTCTCTCATAATCGTAGTCTAATGGTAAGTTGCAAGAAGCCAACAATCTAGAGTATTATGAGAACTTAAGGCATCAATTATTTCTTCCTAATCCTTAAATTAAGCAAAAGATTCCATTCATCCCATAATTTGAAACTGAAGTCCCTATTCTCACCCTAAAAAAAAAATTGTATGTAAAGCTTGTCCTTTAACTGAAGGTATACCACAGGGTTGCTGGTTGCAAGAATTCTCTCAAATCATAATCTAATCGAGAATACCATTAGGGGGCGTTTGTTACTGAGTTTTCTTTTCGTTTCCCAGCAAAGTATTATCAGACAAATAATAAACCCATGTTTGGTAAAGTAAAAAAGAAAAAAATCCAGACTACAAATGTTTCCCAGACAACCATATCATGTGCAATTTTTTGTACAGTGTGCATAAGTAAAATTCCATAAATTGGATGGATCATTTTGTTGCCCGGGAAAGTAGAAATTGGGGCATGAATTTATTGACAAAATTAACTTTCATGAAAACAATGTGTCAACCAAATATATTGGTACAAGTTTAAAGTGGGGTTATTTTCGTAAAATAATCTCACTTTCCCCTTAATATTTCACAACCAACCAAACACACACTCAGTAAAATTAATCATAAATTCCCTAGAAAATTTTAGCATACCAAACATCTTTTCCTAACATTCCAGACCAAATATATTTCACACTACATTCCAGTAACAATTATTTTTCGGATTTAAAAAATTTCTTCTCTACCAAACGCTCCCTTAGAACCTAAGTCATCAATTATTCCTGTTTATCCTTAAATCGAGGAAAGATTCCATTGATTACTTATAAATATGAGAACAAGCAAGTTTAAAGAATTAAGATACATTGAAATACATTTGAAACTGAAAAGTTGATTCTCACCAAAGCTTTGTGTAGTTTGTCCTTTGACTGTGTTATGGAAACTTTGCTAATCATTCAACGTATTCTTTTTCACAAGACAAATCTGATTTCAATTATTTACTCATTTGAATACTGGCTCCAATATTTATCACTATGATATAATAGTTAAAGCTCTTTCGAATCAGAGGTATAAATGTTCAGTAATGTGAATATTTTTAACTCTTTTTCTTTTTTTTTGATAACAATATTTTTAACTTTCGTATATCCTTTTTAGCTTTAATTTCAATATTGATGCCTACCTACCGAATATAAGAATTCTATAGTAGATCGACGTTTAGACCATAACAGACGACCCTAAAAAATGTCACACCAAACATCTCAGGGGAAAGTTAACAGTAGCTGAACATGTGAGTTTGTACTTAAGAGAATAGTATATATATGAATTTTCCCTTATATAAAATATCAAAAGTACCAAAGTCATATTATCTTATTTTCTTATAATTAAACTGCAATAGAAAGGCTTTTTATATACACATTTTTCTGTTGCAATTGTGCATAATCCATTCAATAGATGTTTTCTGTCTATATTACGCATAAATTCCTATACAGGAC